TACACTATTGAATTGTTTACTTAAAAGTGGGTAAGACTGTAACTTCTGTTATTGTGGGGGTTTTTTTAACCAACAATTTAAAAAATACACAATTATACTGCTTCAAGGGTAGTCAAGTGTGAAGTGAAGTGGGATAGGTGCCCTGTACCACTAGGGTAGGATAGCTATAATTAAAAGATAATAACAAGTGTTGGGGAGGATGTGGAGAAACTGGAACCCTCATATATTGCCAGTAAGAATATAAAACGATACAGCTGCTTTGGAAAACAATTGGGAAGTTCCTCAGAAAGTTCAGCATAGAGTTGCCATATAGCCAGTAATTCTACTTGTAGGTATTGAATAGGTTTGGAATAAGCTGCTATGACATAAAAATTATTTTAAGCAGAAGGTATTTGAGTTCCTGAAATCTCTTATCGCCTAAAAGGACAGTCTTCCAAAAGAACTCAAAATAACTCAATCATCATAAAACTCCATCTCAGGAACAACCAGCGAATATTAACTATTATCACCAGCGATAAGATGCCTCCATAACACACCTAAATAGATGTTTGTCACGAAAACAATATCTCCCATGTATTCTAAGGGCCCATTTATCTTTCCTGAAAGTCATTGTTTTCCCACAAGTGCCCTTCTCCCTCTTGCCTTCCCCTCTTACAACGATATATAAGCCCCAAATAATCACCCCTTTGAGTCACATTCCTTTGTGAACTCCTGTCTGTATGTGATTAAAATTTGTCTTTTCTTTCGCTAATCTATCATTTGGCAATTTTAATTTGCAGGCCTCCAGTGACTGAATCTAAAAAATAGATTAAAAGTTTTTCCTTCCTAACAGTATATACCCAGAGAAATGAAACATAAGTTCTTAACAAAACTTGTTCCTAAATCTTCATGGCATTATTCATAATAGCCCAGAAGTGGAAAACCCCTAAAGCCCATCAAATGCTGAATGGATAGACACAATATTGTATAGCAACACAATGAAGTATCATCCAGCAATAAAAAGGAATAAAATACTGATTCATACTACAACATGGATGAAACTTGAAAACATGCTAAATGAAAGAAGCCAGTCACAAAAATCTTACATTGTGTGATTCAATTTATGATTCTACATTTGGTTCCATCCACAAAATGTCCAAAATAGACAAATCTTTAAAGAAAAAGTGGATTAGTGCTTGCCTAGGGCTGGGAGGATGGAGGGATTGGGGATGATTGTTAACAGAAACAGGGTTTCTTTTGGGGGTAATAAAAATGTTCAAAATTTATTGCAGTGATGATTACAAAATTCTGTGAGCACATGAAAAATATTGAATGGTACAATTTGAATGGGGGAATTGCATGGTATGTAAATTAGATCTCCACAAAGCTGTTTTTAAAAGACAAAACTGGCCATGCAGCTTTTGTTTTGTTCACTGCAAACACTTGATCTTAGAGCCCCAAGCCTCCATTAAAGAAATGTGACTACCCTAAAGCCACCAGACTGTCATAAAGCCCAAGCCACATGTAAAGGCCATTTGCTGTCCTAGCGCAGCCCAGCTTTTTCATCATCACAGCACAGGCACCAAATACCTGAGTAAAGAAGCTTTCAGGTGATTCTAGCCCTCAGGCCTTTGGGTCACCCCACTAGCCATTCAAGTGTTCCCAAGTACTGTCCGAGACAAGCCTATCTGCACCATAACCTGTCCCAATACCTGAACACAGAATCTCTGAGCACAATAAAATGGTGGTTGTTTTACACCATTTTATTATTATATTAATTTGTTAAGAAGTAATCAATCACTGTAAAGACCACTCTTCTAGTTTTCCTCCTATCTCACTGTCTGCTCCTCAGTCTATTGGTCCTTCCCTCATATCCCTGAATGTTGGAGTATCCCAAGTGTCAATCCGTGGGCCACTTCTATTCCTATGCTCACTCCCTTGACACCCTCACGTGGTCTTTTGGCTTTAAATACCATGTTAATGACTCTCAAATTTGTATCTTCAGCCTGGACCTCTTTCCTGAATTCTAGATTAATATATTCACCTGCTTATTTGACATTTCTACTTAGATTTAGAACTGGCATCTAAAACTTAACAAAAACACAACTGAGGCCGGTTGCAATGGCTCATACCTATAATTCCAGCACTTTGGGAGACCAAGGTGGTGGATCACAAGGTCGGGAGTTCAAGACCAGCCTGGCCAACATGGTGAAACCCTGTCTCTATTAAAAATACAAAAATTAGCTGCGCATGGTGGTGTGCACCTGTAATTCCAGCTACTTGGGAGACAGTCAGGAGAATTACTTGACCTGGGACCCGGGAGGTGGAGGTTGCAGTGAGCCAAGATCACGCCACTGCACTCCAGCTGGGGCTAGAGAGCAAGACTCCGTCTCAATCAATCAAAAAAGTACACAATTGTTCTTTTCCTCCAAACTTGGCTCTTTTTTCAATCATCTCCATCTTAGTACTGCAACTCCCAGCCGTGCAGTCATTAAGACCTCTTCACTGCGAACTGACTTACTACCCAGCCCCCTTCAGGTCTCTACTGAAATTCCTAGAGGCCTTCAAATACAATATAACCCAATCTCTGTCCCCCACATTCTCTATCTACCCATTCTCTAATTACCCATCCCAGCTTTGATGTCCTCCACCTGATACTGTATCTTTTACTAATTAATCTTTTACTAATTGTTATATCACTAAGGGTGATACAACAGTTTTGCCTATTTTATTCATTCCTGTATCCCCAATGACCAAAGGTGTATAATATCTTTGGCCCTCAATAATTATTTGTTTAGTTATTAAATGAATAATTAAATAAGTTCAGGGAACAAGCAGGGATGAAATCAAGAACCTAAGTAAAGTGTTAGCCTCAAAAGGAGATATAATACATCTCTTTTCTTGGGGAAAGAGAAAAAAAATGTCTACTGATTTTGAACTTCTAAGCAAAGAAATTACAGTAGAACCAATCACACGTGGGGCTTATTATGGAGATCACAAATGTAAGCACTTTACACATATTCATGGTGTAATACTCTCAACCGCCTGTGGGCAAGCTCTATCATCACTTTATTTTTTATTTACTTATTTATTTTTGTTTTATTCTATTATCATTTTATAGTTAAGGAAACTGTAAATAACTTCTCCAAGGTGACTAGCCATTAAGTGGCAGAGCTGAAATACAAATCAAGTTATCTGACTTCAGGGTCCAACATAACCTCCACAACATACTAGGTCTTGAAGGGTCTTTACTGAGGGTGATATAACAGTGGTGGGATACAAAACTTGAAAAGAGGGCTAGGTGTGGTGGCTCTCGCCTGCAATCCCAACACTTTGGGAGGCCGAGGTGGGTGGATCATGAGTTCAAGAGATCGAGATCATCCTGGCCAACATGGTGAAACGCCATCTCTACTAAAAATACAAAAAATTAGCCAGCTGTGGTGGTGAACACCTGTAATCCCAGCTACTTGGGAGGCTGAGGCAGGAGAATCGCCTGAACCCAGGAGGTGGAGGTTGCGGTGAGCTGAGATTGCGCCACTGCACTCCAGCCTGGGTCACAAGAGTGAAACTCTATCTCAAAAAACAAAAAACAAACAAAAAAAAGTAGAAGAGGTCTGAAATAGCCATGTGGGAATTCAGCAGGGAGTCCATCAAACTAAAGGATTGAGAAGCACTGAAGGCCTGGTGCAATTAAGTTATATGGCTTTGCAATGGACTCCTTTAAGTTGGAAAGAAAGGGTCACCAAAAGAGGAGGTGGCTACTCACCTGTCAAGTCTGCTAAGATGTAGTCCTGGTTCCAAAAGCTGCTACTTTTGAAAAACAGCATCTATATAAAGCAAATATTTCATCTTCCTAATAATCCATTGAAATAAAATCAATTTATAGGTGTCCTCACAAAATGTCACTATTCACATCTACTGGCAAATTCTGACAACAAGCCCCTCGGAATTAGTGTACTTATTTTTACTTGATAACCTACCAAATCCTTCATATTTATAATTACTGTAGCTCCAACAAGAACTAGAGGCAAGTCATCTTTAAGTTATGAAAATGATGGATAAATGGATTAACAAAATGTGGCATTCACATCCAGTGGAGTATTATTCAGCCTTAAAAGGAATGAAATTCTGATGTAAGCTATGACATGGATGAATGTTTAAGAAATGCTAAGTTTAGATAGACACAAGAGGATATTGTATGATTCCACTTACAAGAAGTACCTAGACAAGCCAAATTCATAGGGACAGAAAATAGAATGGTAGTTGCCAGAGGCTGGCGGGAGGGAGAATGGGTAGTTATTGTTTAATGGGTATGGGGGTTTCAGTTTGGGATGATGAAAAAATCCTTGAGTTGGATACTGATGAATGTTGCCAAACAATGTGAATGTAATTAATGTCACCTAACTTTACACTTAAAAATGGTTAAAATGGTAAATTATATATATGTATATTTTACTACAAAAAAGTTACGAAACATGGAATAAGAATGCAGGGTTGGTGGAGTCTACTTCTGACTAGAAACCAACTATGTGTCTAGGACAGTTAAGGTACAAAGAGATCTATCGAGAGGCAGCATAGCTAGGATGGAATATGAATATTCCCCCAATTTACACAACAAAGAGTTTTCAAGATTCTTATACTGCTAGTTAAGGGCAGCAGGGACTGTAGCTTTGGACTACCCTGCTTCCAATGGCAGGGTTGGAACAGAGTCTTAGGAACTTCCAGCAGGCGGTGGTGGGGGGCGGGGGGTGTTTCTAATTAGCCATCAATGCTCCTTTTATGCTCAAATACTTGACGTCAGGAGTCTTGCCTGATTCTTTGTAGCCCAGACTCTCAACAAGTATCTGGCTCCTAGAAGGTATTTATTACATAGCTAGTGAATGTAGATGAACGTTTGATTTGGTTCATAAAATGGAGAATAATATCTTCTTCAGAATGCTATACCTGGTTGGAATAAAATTATACAAAGATACAGATGCAAAGGCATTATTCTTAATACAAACAGGACAAAGAGCCTTGAAAAATCTCCCCGAAGTTCACAGTTTATTTGCCATGATCTGCTTTCTTGGTGAGTTAAGAATAATTCTAACTGAAAACATGGAAAGCTCTGATTTATCTTTTACTTTTAGTCATCTTGGAAAGAGAAGAGGGTGGGATCTTTTTGCCTAACAAGTTTCTCAATTCATACAAAGACAGAACAATGGATGAACAAAGTAATTTACTATTCAGAAAGATACAGGGTTTATCTGGAATAAAAATACACTAGAAAAAATAGTTATTTGTTTCTTTTAGTGATTTTTCTAGCTCTTTAACATGCCCGCCCACGCCCACCCAGTTTTGGATGGATTTGCTGTGCAGGCGGAAATCTAAGGTAAGGCATTAAAGGTTTTACAGATCTTCCCTGGTAGATCACATTCTGCTAATCTAATCATACTGACTATCAATTTAATAAATTGCCCAAAAAATCTTATTATCCAAATTTTATATATCTGCCTCCTATAGATATCATTTTATGATACACTGAAAACAGTCAAGAATTACATTTTATATTTATGATTTAAGAACCTATACTTATAAACTATGACTTGTATTTATGTAACTATGATAAGGGACATTAGAAATCAAACAGATGGATATTTATAAAAACTAGTATTTCAGGAAAAGATTTAAAGCAGTTCATTCCAACTCCTTTGTATAAACTGGGGAACACACAATTAATTACTTTAAATAGAAGTCAGTTTTTTCTTAATTGTACTCCAGATTACATCAAAGGTAGGAATCTTAAGACTTTCACTTCCTCTCCTCAAATTTTCAATGAATTGCCTTTCAGAATGATTTTTTCTAATTAACATAATAGGAAATCTAGCTAATAAAAGGCCAAACTCTTACATTCTTCTCAAGAGTTGAATAAATTTTTATGATTCAACACAGATGGATTCCAATATTCACTAAGCAGAAGGGAATAATTAATTTTTATCATCCATGTACCATAGAAATATGAAGTTAAAATACAATTTTCATTGATGGTCAATACTGTAGATTCCATGTTATGATGAGTTCCAAGATCATAAATTTCTGCATCTTTAATAGAAAGTGTACTTTTCAGTGTTACAATGTCTTCAAAGAGTCTTCAGTTTGTCTTTATCTTGCTCTTTTTGACTGCAAAGTGCAAAAGATTCCTGAACAAACTGCCTGCACATTGGGCACTGCTGAAAATACTTCACACAGCCATCACACAGGCATGTGTGTCTGCACGGTAAGAGCACCCAGTTCACAGTCCCATTCTGGCAAACAACACAGTCCTTGCTGTTCTCCTCTGATGGCTCAACTTCACTTTCAGAGAGTCCTGCCTTTTCCAACAAACTTCTGTCTGTGTTTTTTTCTTCTGAAGAGGAATTGTTGGAGGGAGTGAAATTATTATTTGCAGACATGAAAAGTTGCTGAAAATCAAAGAAATAAGTTTAAAGATTATTATAAATAACAATTACTCTTTAAAACTGGGGGTCATAAGAGCTGCTCAATATTTATGAGCTAGCAAATCCAATTGCAAAGGACAGTCATCTTCTATAATTACTAACTGAAAAAAAAAATTCTCTCTTCATAAATGGCCATTCTTTGATACTCTGTAAACAAAAGGCTACAGAGTACAACTTACCTTAAGATCATGAAATTGACCTTGAGCCAAGAGTAAATATTGATACAATATTCTGCAGGATAGTTTATAAGTCCTATCAGGAATATGAATTACTGACACCATGGAAATCTAAAATAAAAATTGAACACTGGTCAGTACTTAAAATCTTATATTATTTCACAAATATGTGAAAAATACTTTTCAACTGCTTCTAGATACTTTGTCTTCTGCCAAAAAAAAAAAAAATGCTTCTCAAAAATAAAAAAGGCTGATAAATTGGAAAATTTATATTAATCTGTATAAATCATAGTCACTGCAGAGGAATCACTTACTGGAATCTGGCAGTTATTTTAATTGTATTCGAATTTACAAATTTAATGTGATCACAATGGACAAAGGAATCTTTGAGAGGACTAAAGAATGAAATGAAGGAGAGGAATTAAAGTCAATATTAAACAGTCTTTTTAGAAGCTTGGATATAAGGGGACCAGAGAAAACGCTTTTGTTTAGACAGCTATATGCACTGACTCTAAAATTCTCAAATGGAAAAATGAACACAAAAGAACAGCTAGGAAAATACTGAAAAGACAGAGCTTTGAGGAGGACTAGCCCCATTAGATAATAAAACATACTACAAAATCTTTAAAATTAAAACAGTATGAACTGGCACATGAATATACAGATGGATGAAACAGTATAAACAGTCCAGAAACAGATCTAATTATGTATTAAAATATCATAAAGGTGTCATCTCAAATCAGCAAAGAGTTTTTTTAATAAACAGTATTGGGACAACCATATAGCTATTTGGAAAAATATCTAATTAGATGCATTCCTCATACTATATATAAGAATAAACTCCAGACACATAGGAGATCTTAATGTAAAAAATAAAACTGTACAAGTACTAGAAGAAAATGAATAAATTCTATTTTAGTCTCAGTGTAGGGAAGACATTAACTATGACTTTAAACCCAGAAAAAAATACACTTGACTATATAATAATTAAAAATATACATGACAAAAAGCACCATTAAAAAGTCAAAACATGACAAACTAGAATAAATATTCACAAGGTATATCACAGATTAAAGGTTAATATTCCTAATTTATGAAGAACTGAAGAAAAATGGTCAAAATTCTATAGAAAAATGGGCAAAAGACATGAACCAACAATTCATAAAAAGATATAAACATGGGCCTTGACCATATTAAAAGACATTTAATTAAAATTAATACAGCACTTATTGTTCATTCATCAGACTGACAAAAATTCAAAAGCTTGTCAATGCATTCTACAGAAATATACTCTCATATATTACTAGTGGAAATGGTTTTTTACAAAAAGGTACAATTCCAATGGCAATATCTAACAAAACAACATGGATTTATACTTCAGCCATACAATCCCAACAATATTAAGACATGTATATATGTATTATTCAGCATAAGATTATTTGTTACTGCAGCATACCGGAGACTACCTGAATATCCAAGCAGAGGAGACTGGCTGAATAACTATGGAATATGCACAGCATATACACACAGTGCAGTGCTACGCAGCTGTTAAAACAAAAACAAAAACAAAAAACTGAAGACAATCTCTGCTAACTGGTGTGCGGTAAATTCCAGGAGATTTTCTGAAGTGAAAAAAAGCAAAGTACAAAAGAGCATATGTAGCAAAGAAAATGAGCTATCTTTTGTGTAAGAAAATAGAGAAAATAAAAAACAGGGAGGATAAATCAGAAAACAAGTATCTCTAAGGACTGGCAAAAGTGGGAACAGAGTGGAAAGGATATGGAGGAAAACAACATTAGTATATTTCTTTACACGGTTTTCCGACTTTTGAGAGAACTAATCCAAGTAATCTACAGACACAATTTGACTATAAATCCTCAGTCTTGGCAGGAAGCAGAGAAAGGGCAGTTTGAGCACCAAAATAATTAAATTCAGTCATGAATTATAAAACACTGGGGAAAAATCCATGAGGCCATAGAAACAACAGATAAGCAAACAAACAAGTGGGAGAGAAAGGAAGTCTCTTGCTTGTTGTAGAATGCCAAGAACTGACTGGAGGGAGGGCTAGAGTTGGAAAACAATTATTTTGCAACCATCACAGCAAAGATAAAATCTGGCAAGAATCATCAATGGATGTTAAATCTAGGGAAAAAGAAAAATTTTAATAAAAAGCAGGATATTTACATGATCTTACAGTGCCTCCACACAGACCAAGGGAGAGAAAAAAGCAGAACAGTGGAGAAATTAGATAACACCTTGACTAAGAGATCGAAATCAACATGACCAATTAGAGAAAAGAACATTGCATGCTTCTAGTGGTGGCACTCTGAAAAGGACACATCATCACCCGGGCAGCTCACTGGCTGCAGATGCATAACTCTGATCTGATCCTAAGAAAAATCAGACAAACAAAATGAGAATGTTTTAATTTACAGAAAGGGTGTGTGTGTGTGTGTGTGTGTGTGTGTGTGTGACTATACCCTTCAAAAATGCTTGTGTCAGAGCATGGAAATTTTCCAGATTAAAGGAGACTAAAGATACATGAGAAATAGGGTGTGTGTGTGTGTGTGTGTGTGTGTGTGTGTGTGACTATACCCTTCAAAAATGCTCATGTCAGAGTATGGAAATGTTCCAGATTAAAGCAGCTAAAGATACATGACAAATATAAAATCTGGCTCTAGACTAGAACCTGAACTGGAGAAGAGAAATTGGTTGTGTATTAGATAAAATACTGTATCAATGTTAAATTTATAAAGCAGATGACTATACTGTGGTTATACAAGAACTCATCCTTACTATTAGGAAATCCACACTGAAGTGTTTAGGGATAAAAGAATCATCATGTATCCAACTTATTCTCAAATCATTCATTTAAAATATACATACGATATACTTAAAAATATATACAATCATATACATGTGTATGTATAAACATACGAGTAGGCTGGGTGTGGTGGCTCATGCCTGTAATCCCAGTCCTTTGGGAGATCACAGCAGAAGGATTGCTTGGGCTCAGGAATTTGAGACTAGCCAGGGCAACACAGTAAGACCCTGTCATTACAAAAATAAATTTTTTAAAAATTTAGCCTGGCACAGTGGTGCATGCCTATAGTTCTGGCTACTCAGGAGGCTGAGGCAGGAGGATCACTTGAGCTCAGGAGGTTGAAGCTGCCATGAGTGAGCTATGACTGTGCCACTGCATTCCAGCCTGGCAATAGAGCAAGGCCCCTACCTTAATCAATCAATCAATACATACATACATAAATGGGAGAACAATAATGCAAAGGACAGAAATGTTAACAATAGGTGATCCAGGTACAGGGTATATGTGTGCTTTTACTTTTTTATTTTTGTAACTTTTTGAAATTATGTACAAATAAAAAGTTTTAAAATCCTACTTTGGTTGTAAAAACACAATATTCTTTACAAGTTTATAAAGATTTATTAATATAGCAATGGCATCAGAGGCTTTTAATACTAAATAAAAATGACAGGATTAGCGGAAAACAGTAGTTATCACTTCATACTAACAATTCTGTCGGCCAGGAGCAATGGCTCATGTCTGTAATCCCAGCACTTTGGGAGGCCAAGGTAGGTGGATCATGAGGTCAGAAATTCAAGACCAGCCTGGCCAACATGGTGAAACCCCGTCTCTACTAAAAATATAAAAATTAGTCAGGTGTGGTGGCCCGCACCTGTAGTCCCCGCTAGTCAGGAGGCTGAGGCAGGAGAACTGCTTGAACCCGGGAGGCAGAGGTTGCAGTGTGCCAAGATCATGCCACTGCACTCCAACATGGACAACAGAACAAGACTCCATCTCAAAATAAAAAATTGTCATTTAATATTAAAAGCCTCTGAAGTTATCATACTAATTATATATGTAGTTGTGGGTATATATTTGATATGGAAAAAATATTTGAATATACTATTAAATGAAAGCAGGTCAAAAAATAGTACAAAATATATAATTTTATCTTTAAAAAAATTACAAAGATTTAGAAAGATAGAGACAAATATTCACAGTGGGTATTTTTAGATTATAAAATACAGATTATTAAACTTCTCTGCTTTTGTCTTAAATTTCTATACTTTCTAACTTTTTTCATCCCACAAATGTATTATCTGAACAATACAGAAAAAAAGCCAATGTAATTAAGTAAAAACGAAACAAATTTAAAGTCAAAATGTTATAGTAACAATTCCTGCTTTCCTTTTTTTTAACCTAAAATAACAAACTGGTTCCTAACTGTACTACCTAAATATAATTCTTTGCTGTTAAAATAAACATATTTTATTAATAACTTAAAAAATATAGTCCCTGACCCAGATAAAATACTGAAAAACCACACATGATAAAGAAATTGGAAATGGTTAATTGGCTTTTAAAATTATACACAGAGAACATTAATACTAAATATACTAATAAATATATTTGAGAGCCAATATTATCCTCCAATATGAGAAATAGGAAACAGAGAGAAGTGAGAATTAACAGGAAAAAAAGGAGGGAGCCCACAGAGGAGAATAAAAGACATTCAAAAGGACAGACATGGAGATATATACAAAGCACAAGAGAAGATGGCTGTTAACCCTTGGGAGACACTCAGGCTCCCCTATGGGAACAAGCCTCCCACAAGTACAGCTGGGAAAGTGTGATCAGGGACCTGATAGCAAACCCTTCTCTGGCCTACAAGGCCATTGAACTGAAAACACACACAAAAAATGGTTAAAATGGTGTGTACCTATGCAACTGTCTTACATGCTCTGCTCATGTACCCCAAAACCTAAAATCCAATAAAAAATTAAAAAAAAAAAAAATTAAAAACAAAAACAAAAACAAAAAAAAAAAAAAGAAAAATATATAACTAAATATTTATATTTTAAAATTAAGAGTAGTATACTATCCCCCACTGCTAAATTTGACTGGCTAAAAAAATACATATAATTTGTAATGCATAAAATAGAAAATATAGCTTACAAATTGGCAGGGAAAAATTGGAGGGGAAAAATTAAAGAAAAAAAATTAAAGGCAAGCAGAAAATACAAAATAAGATGAATAGAAACAAGACATTATTGTTCATAGTAGTATAAATCAACAAACAATGTAACAGTTGCCAAAAGGAGAATGGATGTTTGTACAGTTGTTCGATGGTAAACAATAAAGCAGGTCATGTGAATGAAAAAAAAAAAAAAAAATGGTTAAAATGGTAAGCTTTATGTTATATACATTTTACCACACAGATACACAATCACTCCCTGTTTGGACAGAGTAAGAAAGTTATAAAAAGAAAGAAAAAAAAAGACCCTCAGTACCTACAGTAGATAGAGAGCACTATCAGTGAAGGGAAAAGGAATCCAATGGGGAAGCTGGGAGGGAAAATGACTGTGTCTGATCCTTTTGTGTTGAACCAAAGGAAAAAAGAGAACAGAACACAAGAAACTTAGAAGAGATGGGGCACACAATGGGGAGAGAAGGGCTTCCTTGCACAAGTAGGCAGGGTCCAGAACAAAGAGGCTGGAAATATAAGACACCACTTTAATAGGTTTTATTTATCTCTAACTGAAAAGGAGGGAAGGGAGGGAGGAAGCCAGAAGGCCTCTCATGCACACTAAGGTGCATGCAATGTACAACGAAGGTGTTTGGCTGTCAAGCTCTACGAGGCTCATTAACATTGCCTAGTATGACTTTTTTTTTTTTTAATTTACCAAAATTTTATTGAACCCCTATTGTGTCCGAGGCACTGTACTAGGTTCTGGAAATACACTACTGCAGGTATGACTTTTGTATTTTGTATTTTTATTGAATATATTTAAGGTATACAACAGGATGTTTTGATATACACATATCTAGTGAAATGGTTACTATAATCAAGGAAATTAACACACTGATCATCTCACATAGTTACTTCCACTTTTTTTGTGTGTGGCTATAGCACCAAAAATCCCAAAAGCAATATAATATTAACTACAATCCTTATGGTTTACATTAGCTCTCAAGACCTGTTCATCTTATGTATCTGCAACTCTGTATCTTGTGACCTACATATCCCCATTTCCTTCCCCTCTGCTCCCCATGACTTGGAAAAAATAAGCTGACCTCAGCTCAATGGAACTTCAGTTTGAAAAGATTAAAAACCAAAAAACCAGATGTTAACTGCAAATGAGTAGGGTCTAGATTTCCAAAGAGTCTGCACTTTCCAAAGCTCAGTGTACACTTGTTACAGGAAGATATTCCTGCAAAAAAAAAAAACCTCAAAAAACAAAAAATGCTCAGAGTCAAGCCCCTGTTCCATTACTGCCTGAATGACTGGGATTTTCTTGACTCTGTTTCAGTCTGTAAAAGGAGGATATTTGCCCTGTCCTAACAAACCAGGTTGTTGGAAGGAAAAAAAAAGTTAATGATGTGAACATACTTTGCATATTATGAAGTATCACAAAACAATGTTACCATACCTTTATAAATGAACAATCTAAACACTTGAGAAAAGTAGTCATTGTGTGTAAGGACATTTTTACCATGATACAACTTCATCAAAAGTTTATTTCGTGTGTAAGTTTCTATTATACTCAGAGGCTTCTCAAAGTTTCAGTCCTCTTTGATCTCTAAGATACTTTTTACTTCCTAATAGGAATAAATTACCAGACTGAAAAAATAATTAACACATAATGATTACTATAATTACTGAAAAGACATGGGCCAGATATATAAGATACAGGTGCAGCAGGGGCTTTGATGAAAACAAGGTGACTGCAAACAGGTTAAAAAAAAAACAAAAAACAAAAAACGAGTGGATACTATCTTAAAATTGAGCGCTTTAGATCATTATTATGCTTATTTTTTCAGTGCTAAAAATGTTCAGAATAAATATGCTTCCCAACAGACTGTTTCTATATAACAAATATAGAATGATAAATTTAACTTAATTCAGAATGATATTAACAGAATACAGAATGATAAAATTAACTTTATTCGCCATTATACATCTTTTATTTTCTAAATAAAGTCATATTACTGGAATCCATAAGGTTAAAAAATGAATCATACTTGAAGGTACTGTTACACATATAAAAACCAAATAGGAGTATACCCCATTTTTCATTTTTCTTTTTTTTTTCTGAGACAGATTCTGGCTCTATTGTGCAGGCTGGAGTGCAATGGCACAATCTTGGCTCACTGCAACCTCCAACTCCTGGGTTCAAGCAATTCTCTGCCTGAGCCTCCCAAGTAGCTGGGATTACCACTACACCTGGCTAATTTTTGTATTTTTAGTAGAGACAGGGTTTCACCATGTTGGCCAGGCTGGTCTTGAACTGACCCCATGATCGATCTGCCTTGGCCTCCCAAAGTGCTGGGTTTACAGGTGAGCCACCACACCCAGCCTCATTTTTCAAGAAAAAAGTTTCTAGGCCAAATGTACAGCCTCAGAAATTAAAATAAAACTTTTTCTACTTATCAAATAATGAAGAACCAGCATTCAAATCATGTAAAGGTAATGCTTTCAAATTTTTCAATTACTTACAATATCATAAATTTCTCGGTCATCCTCATCAGCTAAGGTCAACAGCGCTACCAATGGATAGTGAGATCTAGGCACTGTACCAAAGTCTTCAATTTTAGTATCTCTTGGTAACTGGCAATATATTTCTTCTTTGCTATCCTTTTTAATACTTTTTAAAAATGTAAAGGTAAATTGCCACTATAACCATAAGAACAAAAATATACCAAAAATGATCAATAACAAGTTAGCAACACTTTATCTATAAGAAGTCTAATTTTCATGTGCTAATGGGTCTATCAGATAAAAGGATACAAATACTGTTCCTGATAGAGATATTCACTATACAGAGCATCTTCTAACGCTTGGGGAGTGCTTATTCTGAAGCAATAAACATGCTTCTGCAGAGCTTCATATAATTTTTGAACACTGCAGCCCCAGTAGCATGTAAGGAGGCTATCTTCAAGGCAATCTGTTGTCAATGTTATGCCAGCTGTAAAAACAAGGGAGAAAGAATGAAAATTATTTAATGTAACTTCTAATACAATCATACAGGGTGAGTAACAAAAGCTTTCTTTTGGATCCTGGCCAGGCTGATGGCAGTTAGAAGAACTTGTTAAAGGGTATGCACCTATAAATGAGGAAACTGGCCTCTATAACAAGAGATATAAAAGCTCAATGTCTACACATTTGTTGAGAGGTATCAGTAAACCATTTCTTGATATTTATATATTTAAGCTTGGAAACTGTCAATTTTCTTATTTGGTGACTCTAAGACATCTCCCATCTAGACTGTTAACACTAAAATACAGTTCACTATTAATAACCTACCATTCACATAGTGTGTATAATCCTAATGACAAGAAACAGTGCAGCAGAATAGACCTGTCTTCTAAAGTGGATGTGTACAACCTATAGGGTCCACAACATGATCACTGTTGTAAGAAAAACATTAAAAAGAAATTGAGCTTTACTAACATTAATATATACATTTACATCATTAACATATGGGCTTATCACAGACTTAATGTCCCATATAATATGTAAAATACCCTGAGGAAAGAGTGGAGATTCCAAAACATAAAGAGTTTAATAGTGATACCTTCATTCAGTTGTTCACTTGCAACTTAAGAAAAGATATTATCATTTGGGTAGACCTGATTAAATGGATTTATAAATTGAAAGTAGATATGAAATTATATAGTTTTATTTAACACTTATATAGGACTTGCTTTGTGTCACCTATGTTATTCCCCCCTCTGAGTGGTATTTGTAGCAATAACACATTCAAGGGGGCAGCAACATCAGGCTGTTTCATACTGCTAGGGCGTGCAAACTGCAGTGGTGAAAACTGTAACATGTAGTACTCCTTGGCACTGATATGCTGACTAGACAAAAAGGCAGTGGTTTTGTTAATTGTTCCCAGCTGAACAGCCTTGGTATCTGATTCTGGCTCTCCTAATCTGCCAGCAATTCTATAAGCTACCCAATATCCTTTTATTGAAGTTGTTTCTGTTGCTTACTAATAGAATTGATTGATATATTACCTATTTTTTAAAATGTGATCAAGAGTATACATTAGAAGAAGATACACAAATACAAGCAGATGCTCCACAGGATACGAAAAACTGATTTTTCCAGTTTTATTCTCAGTATTTAGTAGTATGGACACAGAGTCTGAGATTATGAGTAGCATTGATACATGGCCATTTCTAATCATACTTAAGCAAAAATTTTAATTGGTAGGAACTTTGCATAGGTAATTGGAGCAGACTTGATTTCAAATTTTTATGATTCCAATCATTGGGTATTCATTAAAGAATGAAAAATTCCACTTTATATTAAATAGCAGAAGGAAAACATTTTATTTACACATATAGATATATGTAGGACATATACACACACATATAAAATCACACATATTTCTCCCTGTGTCACTGTAGAACCACACAACATGGGGCAGAAGAAAAAAGCTGGAGGTAGACAGGAAAGGAAAAAACAGAAAAATGTATATTTTAAAACGTTGAAAAAGAAAAAAGAAACACAAAATAATTATTTATTATGGCATTACTAGCAAAAATGTGAAAAGATATATATATATAAGGCTACTCATTATAGCATTACTTATCATAGAAAAATGCTGGAATAGACCAAATGTCCATCAGTCAGGAGTAAATGAATAAAATACAGTACTCTATAATGAAGTACTAAGAAGCTATTAAAAATGAATTGAGGCATATCAAAATATCTGCACATACTATTATGAAATAATCTTCAGAATATTTTATTAAATAAAAAAAAGCAAGGTAGAGAAACTTAAATACATATGCTACTGTTTATCTCACAAGAATAAATACCCATATATGTGTTTGTTTACATTAAAAAGAAGAGGCCAGTCATGGTGTTTCATGGCTGTAATTCCAGCACTTTGGGAGGCTAAGATGGGCGGATTGTCTGAGCCCAGGAAATTGAGACCGGCTTGGGTCAACATGGAGAAACCATGGCTCTACAAACAATACAAAAATTAGCTGGGCATGGTGGCATGCACCTGTGGTCCCAGCTACTTGGGAGGCTGAGGTAGGAAGACTGCAGCTGCAGTCAGTAGTGATCATGCCACTACACTCAAGCTGGGGTGACAGAGTGATACTGTGCCTTAAAAACAAACAAACAAACACAAGAACAATGGCAAGATAAGCCTTTTTAAACTCAACTTACAGCTTACAGAACATATAAAACTACCCTGTTTATTTGCTTTGTAAAAAGAGAAAAAGCCATAGTCCCAGAGATACAGAGATGCAAAAAGACTTGTTTATAGACTTTGTATACTTAAGTAAAGTGGGAAGAGTGTCAGAGACCTTTGAAAACTGGAGATTAATCAGATTTTAAAATGTCTCTGAAATTAATTAAAATAAACTAAAGAATGTATAAAATTATACTCTCCATAATCTTTCATAAACTTGTCCATTACATAAACCGAGAGGAGAATGTAGTGATTTCCACTATCTGAAGATAGTTCCAGCACCCCTATCAAAACTATGCTCCCTTTACTTTTTCCACTTCTTTTGCAAAGAGTTTCATGTAATATTTTGTCTTCTAAAACTCAGTACATATACATCATTTTAAGATCAATAGCATTAATAGAACTGGGGGCATAGCTGTAAACCAGAAAATTCGGAATCAAAATAAGTGAAGCAGCATGGGTGTGGCATCTCTCAAAGTGTCTTGACAAGACTAGCTACAACAGGCAAATAAAGCAGGGTGTAAGAGATACCCTTGCAAAAAAGTGAAAAAATAAGGACTGTAGAAAATGTGCTAAGCCACTAAAAAAAGGATAAACGATGGGGCAGAAAAGCTACAAACCTTCCTGAAGAAGGATCCTGTGAGAGAAGTAGCAAGAAAACAAGGAGACCATTCATGAGGATAATAAAGCCAGAGCATTAGCAGATAAAGTTTCATCTGTAGGGAACGGAGGTTCACAAATGCCTCCGAACATGCCATGTATATTGTATTTTTTTCCTAACCCTTTTGCTTTAATGTGAGCTCTTACCAGGGTGAATAAGCTAAAATATAAGGAAGCTACTTACAAAAGACAGCAGAATTCCTAAATCAAATTATTCAATTCAATTAGTATATACTGAGTACCTAACTTTCAATGTCATTAGAAACTCCATATAGCAGACATGGAAATGCAAATTCAAATATACCGTTACATAATAAGAATTTTTAAAACCCCAACAACCCACCCCTAGTAAACAGACCTAAATGACTAAGATTAAAATAGATTCTCTGGTTTTTGTTTTTGTTTTTTTTTTTTCTTTGAGATGGAGTTTCGCGCTTGTTACCCAGGCTGGAGTGCAATGGCACGATCTCGGCTCATGGCAACCTCTGCCTCCTGGGTTCAGGCAATTCTCCTGCCTCAGCCTCCTGAGTAGCTGGGATTACAGGCACGCGCCACCATGCCCAGCTAATTTTTTGTATATTTTTTAGTAGAGACGGGGTTTCACCATGTTGACCAGGATGGTCTTGATCTCTTGACCTTGTGATCCACCCGCCTCGGCCTCCCAAAGTGCTGGGGTTACAGGCTTGAGCCACTGCGCCCGGCCGATTCTCTGGTTTTAAAAAAAATTATAAATTTTAAAATATAAATAAGAAGCATGTGAATTTTTTTTTTTTTTTTGAGACAGGGTCTGTTGCCCAGGCTGGAGTGCAGTGGTGTGATCTCAGCTCACTGCAGCCTCAACCTCCCAGACTTAAGCAATCCTCCAACCTAAGCCTACCAAGTAGCTGGTACTAATAGGCATGCACCACCAGACCCAGCTAATTTTGGTATTTTTAGTAGAGATGAGGTTTCGTCATGTTGGCCAGGCTGGTCTTGAACTCCTGGACTCGAAGATCTGCCCACCTCAGCCTCCCAGAGTAAAGATCTGTAAACTATCTACGCATCAAATGAAATAACTTTTTACAATGTCACAAATATGGTTAGAATATTATTTCAGTGTTCTGTGTAGACATCTTTAATGACACCCACTTTTCCATAGTTTAAACAAATGATTTTTACACTGCTAAGTATACTCCTATCAAAATCCTTCTCTCTATTTCCCCATAGGAGAAAGACAGTAAATGATATGCATTGGTACTTTCAAAATTAAATTACTTCAGTAGTCATGCTGTGCGTCCACACATTCAAAGAATTTTTCATGACTTCAGTAATGCTACTGTTGGTTAGCACATCATGTGCAGGCATAGCTAAGAGGGCTATTTACTGGCTATCTTTTCATTTGCCTCAAACATTTGCACTGCTGGCTCTATTTGTGACTATTTCTGCCCGAAAAGCAGATTGACGGATTTCCTCACACTTTGTTCCTCACAAGTGCCCTGTGTTTTGCTCACAATGTATCAGTTCTTCTTAGTTTTTCAGTGTATTTTCAGACTTGTGGAAATGTACTGCAGGAAGGAAGGCCTTGCAGCTGGTAGATTTTTCACTGTGGGTCCTGCTCAAGAGCCAGATGTGACACTGTAGCAGGTTCTAGTCTATGGCCACAGAGGTGGGAGGTTGTTGAACCACCACTATTCTGTACACTTTATTTTTTATTTGATTTTATTTGTTGAGGCAGAGTCCCAGGCTGAAGTGAAGTAGTAGGATCACGGCTTACTGCAACCTGGACCTCCTGGACTCAAGTGATCCTCCCTATTTTTTCCCCTGAGTAGCTGGGTATACACTTTAATCAGGCTTAGCACAACCTATTATCTTTTACACAAATTGGTTTTCTCTGTGTCATATCTTAAAATTTGGTTTTGCCAAGTGAAAAATGTCAGCATGAATTGTTATCTATTATAGGAATGGAGCAGGGAAAGGGGTGGCCGAGATTCTAGTTTACATCTATTCATAGGATAATAGTATTTATAGCTAAAGAGGATGAATAAGAAATTTTGTACTTTTGGGGGCCACGCACGGTGGCTCACGCCTATAATCCCAGCACTTTATAAGCCTGGGGAGAAGGACTGCTTGAGGCCAGGAGTTTGAGACCAGCCTGGGTAACAGAGCAAGACTCCATCTCTACAAAAAAATTTTTTTTAAATTAGCTAGGCATGGTAGTACACACCTATAGTCCCAGCTACTCAGGAGGCTGAAGCAGGAGGACCACTTGAGCCCAGGATGTTGAGGCTGCAGTGAGCTATGATCACCCTACTGTATTCCAGCTTGGGTGGAAGACCAAGATCCTGTCTCAAAAAAAAAAAAGCCATGTATTTTTGCTTACAAATCAAGATTTACTCAAGGCTGATGATCCATGTCAACTAAGTAAACTGATTTTTGACCAGTTACTAGATTCTGAGAGTTAGAGGCAGGAAGGATGAATAGACAAGAATGGTCCACAGAAGCAAGGGATCAGGATGTTGCGAAGGAAGGTCCACTCTGTAAAATACTAGAGAGAGAGCATTAACTCAGGCCTGAAAGCCTCCCACTGGATTTGATGACTGTTGGGAGTCAAAAGCGCAGAGCAGAAGTAGTAATTAATTAGTGACCTCAGAGAAAGCCATTTCAGTAGAGGGATACAGACTGCACTGAGTAAAAAAGAAGCAGGGTAAGAGGAGAAGGCAAATGCAAACAGCTTCTAAGAAGCTAGCCGTGGAGGGAAAAAGAGAAATAGGACAGTAGCTTGAATAGGATGAAAAGCAGAGAAAGATCTGGTTTATTTGTTTTCAGGAAACCTGGAATGTAAGCAAGTATAGAAGGTGACAGGTCTCAGCCCAGAAAAAAGCTACAGAGCTATATCTAGAACTACCTACTCTTTGTCTCTATTGTACTGTCACAAAACCAGTTCAAAGTCCAAAAGTTCAAAACTGAATTCATTGCCTTTCTTCCAAAACTTGCTATTCTTTCTATACTCCTCATTTTTGTAACAGGATCTGGCTATGGACAACTCACAGGAAGAAACCAAGTCTTCATAGACTCCTCTCTTCCCTGCCCCATCCTATCCTTTAGCCATAACTGACTGTTTCTTTAATGTATCACTCCATTTCTCACCCAAGAGGTAAACACCTACTTATCTTTCAATATTCTACTCAAAAAAAAAAAAGGAAGAAAAAAAATAAGAGACTCAGCATACTCTTTTTTATGAAGGCTTTCCTGAATATGCCTCTTCACCTTAACAAATTTAACCATCTCTTTCTTTACAATTCTAAGGTTTCCTAAATGGTCCTGCAGACAACTTATTTTTCCAAGCAAGCACAAAAGCCATCAACTGCCATCTCCTACCTACCATTTACAAAATAACATGTTATATCAAAATAATTTATACCAAAATACCACAGTTTCAGATTAAAAGACAATTGTTCTGGCCGGGCACAATGGCTTGTTCATGCTTGTAATCCCAGCACTTTGGGAGGCCGAGGCAGGCGGATCATCTGAGGTTAGGAGTTTGAGACCAGCCTGGTCAACATGGTGAAACCCTGTCTCTACTAAAAATACAAAAAATTAGCCGGGAGTGGTGGTGCACACCTATAATTTCAGTGACTCGGGAGACTGAGACAGGAGAATCACTTGAACCCAGGAGGCGAAGGTTGATTGTGCCATTGAACTTCATCCTGGATGATAGAATAAGACTGTCTCAAATTTAAAAAAAAGGCGATTGTTCTTCAAAAGGTTGGCAACCTTACATTAACTGTATTTAGACATAACACATCATTTCTCACTTGACTACAGACCAATAAAAATGGCACAGAGTCCTAACAGACTTCACCATTAACACCTGTAATACTTCATTCTGCTCCTTCGCATACACATCTACCTTTGTTTATTAGGTGATAAATTCTTCAGATGTAAAGTGTTTCAATTCTTAATCTTTGTATCTATAATACACAGTACAGCCCCTGAAACAAAATAATTGCTTAGTAAATGTTTGTTAAAAGACTAATGAAGAGAAAATAAATAGAGAAAGAAAATAAAAGGGCTAAAAAAAAAAAAAGAGTGCAAGCAAATAGAGAAAATCTTTGGAAAATAGCTACAAACTTGTAATTGAAGCTGAAGCTGGATTAGTGATCTCTAAGCCAAAAGGATTCTTGACTTGTCTCATTTGCTTTTTGAAAACTCTTGTGCTGAAGTGGGTCTCTTCTGAATTTCTCAGAATTACTGGAACATCCCAACCAAACCTAAAAAAGGTAAAAAATATTATTTTAACGAATGTTGAAACTTTATATTATATGTAAAAATCTGTTGTGCTTCATTTCAGCATTAAGTGTCAGAAAAAAGAGGTTAAATCTCTCAATTAACGTTATTTTATGAAATTAATCTAGAACTAAGGGAGATTAGAGATCCCATCCAACTGCAAAACAGTTGGCCCTCTGTGTCAACGAACTGCACATCACAAATATTTGGGGGCGGGGGAAGAATAAAAAATAACAATAACAAATAATACAAATTCAAAACCAATACAGTATAACAACTACAAAGCATTTACACTGTATTAGGTATAGGTAATCTAGACATTATTTAAAGTATACAGAAGGATGTGTGTAGGTTATACGCAAATACTATGTAATTTGTGTACTGGCTCATGCCTATAATCCTAGAATATGGGGGGTGCGGAACCTAGAATCAATCCTCCTCGGATATCAAGGAAGGACTATGTATTGCTCAGCTGGCTGAATCAACATATTCTTAAAAACAAAGAGTTCTATTGTTAGTACATTTGAAAACACTGAAGGAATATGGAGATTACAAATTATACTTAATACAACAGCAAACACATGATGAACTTAATAATTTTTTTAAATGTGAAAAACAAATATATATTCAAGAGGCAAACTATTTAATATGATTTATGGGACAACAGAACTTTTTTTTTTTTGGAGTTGGAGTTTCACTCTTGTTGCCCAGGCCGGAGTGCAATGGCGTGATCTTGGCTCACTGCAACCTCCACCTCCCAGGATGACAGGTGTATGCCCCCATGCCCAGCTAATTTTTGTATTTTTAGTAGAGAGGGGGTTTCGCCATGTGGACCAGGTTGGTCTCAAACTTCTGACCTCAGATGATCTGCCTGCCTCAGCCCCAAAGTGCTGGGATTACAGGCATGAGCCACCACGCCTGGCTGAGACAACAGAACTTTTACAACACCAACTACAGCTCTTCATTTATATATCTTCTATTTTTAAATTTCATGTAAAAATGTAGACTCTGACAATGCACACAGAACAGAATTAAAAGGAAAAAGGGGCTAAACTCAATTCTTAATAAAATTAAAGAACAGCTAGTTTACTCAATTTACATAAAATAATTTAAAATTAACATATACCAGTTAAACTTGGAGACTTCAGCTTAAGATGGCACAGTCAGGGTCCTATTTGACGCACTCCCTTCTCTCCAAACATGCATCAGTGATAGATTAAAAAATAAAAAGAAAAATAAAAAAGACCCCACAGATACCTGAGTCCCATATGCTTTAAACAAAAAAAACAATGACCCCGCTGAAATGAGTAAACAAACTCTGGCATATTTAAACAAAATAGAAGTACTCAGCACTGAAAAGGAATAACTTATTGCTACCCCCAAATGGATAAATTTCAGAAACATCATCCGATTCAAAAGAAGCCTTATGCGAAAGAATATATGCTGTATGATTCTCTAATATGAAATTCTAGAGCAGGCACAACAAATCTATGGTAGAAATAAAAATGAGAACAATAGTTGCTTCTGGGAGTACAGGAGTAGGAAGTAACTTTCCCTGACTGGGAAGGGGCATAAGAAAATTGATGGGAATGCTCAGTATCTTGACAGAGGCTTAAGATATATAGATGATGTGTTTGATAGATAACATTTGGTAAATGTTTCACTTAAGATTTGTACATCTTACATGTAAATGTTACTTCAAAACAACTATAAATGAAAACAAATATTGAGCTCTGGTCGGTAATACATAACATTTTAGAACTTACAGTGAAGTTCTAAAATCATCAAATAAGATAGACCAATGTGTGGATAAAAGAATGGATTAACGTGGACAGATATGTAATAAAGCAATTACAGTAAAATGCTGATGGTAGAATGTAAGTGATGGGCAAATATGTTTTCACTGTATAATTCTTTCTAGTATTCTCTATGTTTGAAAGTATTTATAATAAAATGCTGGGGAAAAGTCATACCTAGGTTTACAGGCAAATACCTTTATGGATCTAAAAAAGGAAAGAAACATAAAGGAATGAGTAAGGCTATGCCATAGTTTCATGGTTCTCGGTCTCGCAGCAGACAGTGGTAAACAAGCCTTCACGTATTAAGGAGACCAGTATGGGCAGTCCACTCCAGAAAAGGGCTGGAGCCAGATTCATAACTTGGAACCAGGAGCTGGATTAGGTCAATATCAACACAGGCAGGTAGAACTGTTGTTTAAGACTTGGTCCTAGGCTGGGTGCACTGGCTCATGCCTATAATTCCAGAACTTTGGGAGGATAAGGAGGGAGGAATGCTTGAGCCCAGGAGTTCAACACTAGCCTGTGCCACAACAGCGAGACCCCATCTCTACAAAAAAATAGAAAATTAGTCAGATATGGTGGTGTACATCTGTGGTCCCAGCTACTTGGGAGGCTGAGGTGGAAGGATCACTTGAGCCTGGGAGGTCAAGACTGCAGTAAGCAGAGATTGTGCTACTGCCCTCCAGCCTGGGCAACACAGAGAGATCCTGTCTCAAAAAAAGAAAAAACAAAAAAAAAGGCCGGGCATGCTGGCTCATGCCTGTAATCCCAGCACTTTGGGAGGCTGAGGAGGGTGAATCACCTGAGGTTGAGAGTTCAAGACCAGCCTGACCAACAAGGAGAAACCCTGTGTCTACTAAAAATACAAAAAATTAGCCAGGCGTGGTGGCACATGCCTGTAATCCCAGCTACCCAGGAGGCTGAGGCAGGAAAACTGCTTGAATCCGGGAGGTGGAGGTTGCAGTGAGCCAAGATCATGTCATTACACTCCAGCTTGGGCAAAAAGAATGAAAGTCCATCTCAAAAAAACCGAAACAAAACAAAAACTTAGTCCTAGACTAGAGGTCTAGGAATCTGGGCATAAATAACTACAAAATGCTTTTGCAATCTATCCATCTGACAAAGGTCTAATAGCCAGAGTCTATAAGGAACTTAAACAAATTTACAAGAAAAAAAACCCATTAAAATGTAGGCAAAGGACATGAACAGATGCTTCTCAAAAGAAGACATTCATGCAGCCAACAAACATAAAAACAGCTCAACATCACTGATATTAGAGAAATTCAAATCAAAACCACAATGAGCAATACCATCTCACGCCAATCAGAATGGTGATTATTAAAAAATCCAGAAACAACAGATGATGGCAAAGTTGTGAAGAAAAAGAAACACTTTGGCACTGTTGGTGTGAGACCTAGAGGCAGAAATACCATTTGACCCAGCAATCCCATTACTGAGTCCTATTACTGAGTAATCCTACTACTGAGTATATACCCAAAGGAATATAAATCATTCTATTATAAAAATAGATGCATGCATACATTCACTGCAGCACTACTCACAACAGCAAAGATATGGAATCAATGCAAATGCCCATCAGTGAGAGACTGGATAAAGAAAATGAGGTACATATATACCACAGAATACTATGCAGCCATAAAAATGAACGACATCATGTCCTTTGCAGGAACACAGATGAAGCTGAAAGCCGTTATCCTCATCAAACTAACACAGGAACAGAAAACCAAATGTTATATGTTCTCACTTATAAGTAGGAGCTGAAAAGTGAGAACACATGGACACATGGGGGGAACAACACAGAGTGGGGCCTGTCAGGGTGGGAGTTGGATAAGGAACAGCATCGGGAAGAATAGCTCATGGATGCTGGGCTTAATACCAAGGTGACTGGTTGATCTGTGTAGCAAACCACCATGGCACACATTTACCTATATGTAACCAACCTGCACATCCTGCACATGCAACCCAGAACTTAAAAGTTAAAGGAAAAATATAAAAATAAAAATAAAATAAAATATTCAACTAACAATAACTGTAAAGAGGATAAACAGTGAGGATGAGAACAAAGGCAGAAAAATAACAAAACAAAACAAATCTACTAAAATTTAGGTTGAAAACTAAAGTTTCAAAACACACAAACATAACACTGAGAGATAACCAATAAAATTAACAAATGAAATAAAATTTAACTTTTGATGAATCTGATTTTATAAATGAGTTAGGTAAGACTGCTCTGGTCCTGCCTAACAAAGCTGAAAAGCAAGTCTCTAACAGACTAAACTATTTCTGAGTAACTTAACTGTGACCCAGAATAAAGCCCAAGAATATTTATAGGAATACAAAAATATCCAGCACCTAATAAGGTAAAATTCACAATGTATTGCATCTGATAAAAAAAATTAACAGGCATGCAAAGAAGTAGGAAAATATTACCCACAATGAGGAGAAAAACTCTATTAAAATAGATCCAGAAATCATACAGATACTTGAATTAGTAGACAAGAATATAAATATAGGTCTCAGAAGTATATTCCATATGTTTAAGAAGAAAAGTAATGACTGCACATATGATATAGAGGCATGGAAGATATTTAAAAGTCCCAAATCAATTTATAGGATGAAAAACATAACGTTTTAGATAAAAAAAATATATAGTGGATGAGATTAACACCAGATTAGATACTGCACAATAAAAGATTAGTACTCTTGAAGACAACATAATAGAAAGTACTGAAAATGAAACATAGAAAGGAAAAATACTGAAAATAAATAAAGCATCAGTAAGCCAAGGGACAACTTTTAAGCAGTCATGTAACTGATGTCTGAACCTATCGCTCAAGTTTGCAGAGGACAGATAAAGTATTTGAACACATAATGACTAAAACCTTCCCCAAAATATTGAAAACTATAAAAACCTACGGACCCAAGAATCTCAATGAGCTCCAAGCACAAGAAACAAAGAAAATTACCTAAGGCAAATAATAATCAAGTTGTTTAAAACCAGTAATAAAGAGAAAATACTAAGAAAAAGAAAAAAGATACACTACAGTTGCTAAAGAAAAAGGATACACTACACACAGAGAAACAAAGATAAAAATGAGAGTAGCTTTTTAATATTAATAAGAAATAATGAAAGGCAGACTATTTGTAAATAACTAAAAGGAAAA